AAAAATGAGAATGCACACTCAATTGATTCAATCATTACACAGCTCTGATACATTTTCACCGCCATATTGGCAGTTATACAAATAGGCGCTGAAAGTAAGTGTTTTTTCTTTTTCATTTATCTAGTGATTTAAATTATTTAAGAAAGTAAACTTATTTACTGTACCTTAATTGATCATTCAGAAAGTATATAGTCTACTTACCACCGCTTTGTCGCTAAACTTCAATTTCGTAATTTGCTTGGCTGGCCGAGCTGCTTTCGCATATACCATACTGACCAACATGCCTTCAATTCCAATTGCAATAATCATTTGCATCACAAATAGGAATATAGCCTCTGGACACTCATCGCTTGCGTATTTCTCGCCAAAACCGATTGTTGTTTGGGTTTCCACGGACGGTTTCATCGAGACGAAATTATATTAATGCAGGGCTCCTTCCCCTCACCCAAACGTTCGCCAGTCACTTCGTCAAACATTTGATCGCCATGCGAATATGCAACCATATAGTTTAGCAAAGCAAAGAATAACCATGTGACGAAGTAGGTACCAATAAAAATCGTCAGCATATATTTCCAATCTAATTCAATATATGCGAGTTGTGGATATGGAAGCATAAAAAGTGATGCATAAAAAAATAAGTACTGCTCTTCGCAGATTTATGGCGGGTGTGCTACCATAATTTGTTAAAATAATTTTATTATAACTAGCATATTTACAAAATTAGTTGAAGTTTTTAATGCAACGCCGATGCATGCTGCCAATCAGTAAATGTGCACTTACCGCGTGTGCTATTGGATGGACAGTGGCAACGTTTTCAAACCTACGCACGCACGTAAATGCAGTGAGTGGTCAAATGTTTTAAATTTAGTACTCTATACCAATTTGCTGTGCCATTGAGATTTTTTTAATAAATGTAAATTAGAAAAAAACAATGTATGCATGTATTAGAAGTTAATGGTGATTTATTTTAGAAGGTACAACTAATTCGATGTGCTTGTACGTGTACATTATTCAACATTCGATTTATTTAAATATTGAGCATTTACATATGTATTTATTATAGAAACAAACATATGGATGTACATACATGTTTTTGGGCTAAAACAAGTGTTTAGTATTTATATGTATACTCTTTAAATTAAAGCATTTAACTTCGACAAAACATATATATATGTATGTATGTACATATTTACATGAACTTAATTTTAAGGGATGAATATTTATGTACACACAAATCTTTAGCCAGACATAATTTAATACATATATGCACTTAGTTATTGCTTTATGTACAAATATATATACTAAAACTTAAAAATTCGCTTTTTATGGCTTTATACTGGGCATACTATTATATTTAGTGTTTTTTTGATTTGTGTCCGAATAGCTACTTGTAAATGCGTCATTGTCCACATATGATCCTATATCACCTTGTTCAAGACTTACATTAGTTGATGCGGGTGTTATGGTGTTGTTCATATTTGAAGATGTTGATGTAAGACATTTTTTGTGGAATAAACTTGTTAACGCGCTTACCATTGTGGTTACCAAATCTCGAACATAGCGCCACGACTTTTGGGGTATGCGTCGGATGTTGGCATTTTCATTGCCACTTTTCGATGACACGATGATGACGACGTCGTGCACTCATATGATCAACATCTACATAAATATGATTAGATTTAGTTAAACGTACGTATGTACATAGATACGTGAAAAAAATAGAGAATACTTACCACTATAGCGTGAATCTAGATTCAATTCCATTGTACTGCCAACCCAATCACTGGTACAGGGTACGCTAGAGTAAAAGTGTAGAGAAGAAATATAAGGTTTAATTTAAATGAAAATATCGTAACGGTATTTATACATAGTTTTGAAATTATTTAAAAACAAGTCAAGATTTAAACCAAACTGCCGTTGCAATCGAAAACATGTACTACTCGACGCTGCCACTAGGCGGAGAAAAGCACCCAAGAGCCCAATTACATATTTAGGAAATTCAACTTAAAACATTAATGGTCTTACGGTGGCATACGAAGCCGACATTTTTGTCGTGGATCTTAAAAGTGGCATAAATTCTTTATTGTACAACCTATAACGTACAAAATGGTCCCAAAGTCATTTCAACGACAAAAATTTTAAGTTTTGTATAAGTTTAAGTTAAAATCACTTTAATTTGAAAAATTTGCATTCACGCATTTTCTAATTTTTTTTTAATCTGATTAGGAAGTTGAAAATTTTATTTTTATGTTGTAGTATGAACATAATTTTTATAAAAAAATTTGCGAAAAAATAAAAAATTTTGCACATTTTGTGAAAAATTCGTTGTGTCAATACCTTTTTCGGGCAGTATATTTGCAAATATAAGACATAATAACAAAAGAGAAGAGCTTCTTTCTTGTTGTGACACATAGCCACTGCCACTGCTTCTTGCGTTTTTAATTTTTTTTTCTTTTTCTGAAAGTGGCATGTTGCCACGAGAATTATACTTTTTTAACCAAAATCTTCAAGCTTTTATGTACATGCACATGAACTGATTTATTAAACGTAAATATTTAACTATGCATATAATTTATCTCTAACTTGACGGCATCATACAAATATTTACGTTGCACTTAATTATCTGTAAAAGTATGCATTAGTAGATTAATGGTACATATTAAATGAATCATTGCCGTGGTAAAAATTTTAAAATGATTTGTCTGTTATCTTTCTTGTTGCTGTAAAATTTAAGATACGTATAAAGTCTCTAACAGATTTCCCAACGTCTGTTTCTTTACCCGTAATATCTTTCGTACTAAATCTAACTATTTCTGACAAATTCCTGTAAATGTGGCGAGTAAAAAACTAACTAAGAGGCACTCACTTATTCGCACTTCTACTTATGCTGCTAGCCAATTCACATTTTTTTCGTCGTTCCACAATTGGACTTTCTGGATAATAGTCCCGGAAATCGTTAATTTTCTCCTTTTCCTCCGAGCGTTTAAGTGATTTCGGTTCAATTGGTCGTGGTTTAACTGGCATCGATATAGATCGTCCCATTTGTGTATTATCTGCTTGATCCATTGTGTATATGTATGTATGTATATTTTCTCAAGCTTTATATAACAAGTTGATTACTTGACCATCCACCCACTCGAGCTGTGATAATACTTCAAATTAAATTGAAAGCAATTAGTAACGAGTGTTTAAATTAAATCAGATCAGCTACTATGATACACATCGAGCACTAGAATGGAATGGATGCCAACTGCTCCACGATGTTGACCGTTGAAATGGCAAAAGCAAACTAATGCGTCAAAAGATTACTATTAAATTCATCTTTATGAGATGCTCTTTATACAAATGATAACCATAATCACAGCACGAGTATACATATTGGACGACTCTGTTGTAGTATGTTTTATCTTGGGGGAAACAAAGATTTGGGGGAAGAAACTTAGGGACTTGCTGTTGACAGCAGAAGTAAGATACTTAGAATAAGATGTAAATATATAAAAAAAATTAAAAAAGTACTATTTGTAATAATTTCGATTGCACTAACGCTTTCATCATAACAACTTTCTTATGAAATTTGAGAATAGAAACTATTAGCTGAGTTTTTCTGCACTGATAGTATAAATTGCACTAGCGTCAATACATTATTTTTGGGCTAGGGAGGAACAGAAATCACTTCACAAAAAGGAGAAGGTTATCAATTCGTCGGAATATTTTTTTTTTTTTTATGTACATACATATGTCGCATAACTTTGGACCACAGTAAACGATTTTTATGATTATTTTTTTGTTTTAAGGAAAGGTGTTACCTCACAGCTGGTCCCATACTAATTTGGTTTAGATCCGATCATTGGATCTTGAAGAAATTACCGATAATCTTAAATTTATATATGGAAAATGAAGTCGGATTTGTTTTTTGCTCAAAAATTACTTGTAAAATTACATTTTGTGACATTCAAATTTTCGATTTATATTTACAACCTGCTTTAGCAGTTAAAGTCTTCTTTTTTATGAATTATGGATTTAGTCTTAATTTGTATTTTTATCTTTATTGTCATTTATTATTATAACGTATCTTAATTTTTATTATTAATTTTACCTTTATCTATGTATACGTTCCTTGTCTAAATCGTTGCGTTTAGCTTAATATTTTTAATTGTATTATTATTTTTATCTTTGTCTTGATCTTTATTTCTACAACTATCCTTATCTTCACACTTTTCTTTTTAGGTTTAGCTTTATTTTTATTTTTATCCCGATTTTTATCTTAAAATTTATGTTTATCTACACCGTTTTTGTGTTTTTAATCTTATCTTTATCTTGATCTTTATCTTTATCTTTATCTACATATATATACATATGTATATTATGAAGTATACATACATAAGTAAAGTAACAATAAACCTCCCGGTTAGACTTACCAAATGTGCTGCGGGTTTGCCATTAATTTCTTTGAGATTCTGTGATTTACTGTAAATATGAGTTGTATTATCGATTCGCAACTGCATTTCAAAGAAAAATATGTGATTTATAAACTTGCCTTTACATCTATCAATTCATTCATTTGATATCCCTTTAGATACGCAGTGGATAGTTAGAACTTTTTATTGCGTATACAAAGTTCAGAGAATTGCCGATGGTAATTGGTAAAATTCTGCCTTTACCAGTAGTCAACGAGTTTTTGAAAAGGAATTTGATATAATGGCAAACAGTTGGACCCATCCAAGAAACAGAAAGCGAGTCAAACTGATATTGCCCCAATTTGACAAGCCTACTCGAAGTGCACCACCATGATTCAATAATACAAGGTTCGATAAACTGACAGCTGTCTCTCTCGCACCGCTCCCTTAGCAGTGGCACCGTGTTGCTTCTTTGCAAATTTGCATGGAAACAGTGTAGCTTTGGTGTGAAATAAAAGTATAGCTTTTGTGCAATATGTTTATTTGTATATGCATATGAAGCATATTTAACTGATGAAAACCTAAGCATTGGATGTTTACATCAATCTCATAGTAGTCTTATTTTAATTTTGAGTCATTTTGCAGTTTTTATACGGCTAAATAGCATATAAATTACGTAATTCACGTAGATATATCAATATTACGTTCAACATTTCGTTTAAAATGCCTGATTTCCTGCAAATACATTAGAATTTACGAAAGGAATTTCACTACTAATTGCCTACTTTGCGTACTTTTCTACTACCATTTTCGAAACAAGGGATTGCATTCTTGCCCTTTCTCTGTCCTTCGTAAATGCAACCTTTTGTAAGGGAGTATCAAACCGCAGCTGTCAATAATTATCTAACCTTGTATTATTGAATCATGGTGCACCACTACAACAAACCAGAGCATAGAAACTACAAAAAATTTTAAGCGTCCACCATCCTACCAACGAGAAAAAACCGTACCGATTTTGGTACGAAAAGCCCAAAACGGCAACCCTGGCGTTGATCCGTTTGTGCGATGACGACGTTAATAGGCGACATACACAGTGCGCCTGACTGCCATCCCTAAATTGGAGCGTCAAGCGCTAAGCAACTGTCAAAAATCCTCATGCCCATACAATTTGTATGAAGCATCCCATGAACCAACTAACAAGATCACGCAATCGGAAAAGAATGAAAAAAGTAAATTTCTGAGCGTTTTTGACATCTGCCTAAAAATGAAAACAAACAAAGAAAACGAAAAACGCGCGGTTATTGAGTGCGATTAGATTTGTATTTATTATAAAATATAAAAAGTGAAACTTGATGACAATTAGCAAAAAAAGTTCATAAAATATGGTTTTAATGATTGAGAGTGTTTTACAATCGCATATTATCGGCACCGGCCGATTTTTCAATGCCAACGTTCTGACCACAAATGTGCACCCACTTTTCACGCAAATTTACGCCTCTTGGCAAATCAAACAGACGCACAAACTTGTTCCAATCACAAAGCACTTCATATTATATCATAAATTTGTAATAAATCAAAATTTCTAATTAAAACCGCTGCAGAAAACACATAAAATCGCTAAAATATCACTACAAAGAGGTAGAAGATGATGTAAACAGAACCAAAAAACATCAAAAACGCTACGAAAACTTTTTTCTGAAAATCGATTACAAATACAACGATGGCGGATTACGTGATCTGTAGTCGTTGGTTCATGGAAGCATCCCACAATAACGCGGCGCTAACGCCGAGCAAATGGAATTTTCATTTTTGACAGGGCGTTACGTGCTGAAGTTGGATGCAGAAGACGAAGAGAAAGAGAACGGACAAAGAAGTGAAAAAGGAAACGAGAATAAAAACGAGAGGACATGAGAAAACGTCAAAATTGACGACGCGTTGATTTGGGTATAGCGCGCGATGACACTCGTTGACAATGGATACGCAACGCTTAGCGCTCCAATTTAGGGACGGCAGTGACTCGCGAGTCATTTGTGTACGTGTTGTCTCCCCTTCGACTACACACAGTTGAATCATTCAGAGTCATGCTAGCCCAGCGGACCAGCGCACGAGCCTTTAGCGAGAGTGTCGCAAAATATCCGCAAATGAGCTCGCATGTGAGCAAAGGACGATTGTGAAACTTCTTTGATCGTAAAACCCTCGCACACGAGCATTGCAGCGTGAATATTGCGATAGAAATGAGGGTGCTCGAGCCTTTAGCCAGAGCATCCCAAGATGTCCACAAATGAGCTCGCATCTGAGCAAAGAACGATTGTAAAACTTTTTGGATCGTAAAACCCTCGCACACGAGCATTGCAGCGTGAATATTGTGAGAGAAATGCGAGTGTAAATATTTTCTACTTGTACTATTGTAAAAAATTAGTTTTCTTTTATTTGTTAAGCTCGAGTGTGTGACAGCTGAATAATTAAAAAATATTTATTAAAAACTAGATACATTTTTTTGTTATTAATAATTTTCTGTGTCCTTTCCGGAGTTTATTTAATTGGTGTAAAAAGTAAGTATACTTTATTTGAACGGTCACTTGTTCACGAGAGCCGTGATTCGGGCCCAGTTTCTTATCTAATGCCTACTTACAAGATTTATTTATTACGTTTACAGACATATTGAACCTTATAACGAAGTTTATGGAAACCCAGAGGGCAACAATTGATAAAATTGATCAGTTACTAGCCAAAATTGATGGTGCTGAGTTAATTTCTTTAAGGAGTGAAGTTTCATCTATACATGTTTCCATTAGTTACATTTTACTATTTTATCCTTATCGCTAGAAATATCAAAACAACCTTGCAAAATATATCGTCAAATGCTCACTTACGTTATTTCTTGCAACTATCGTAAATGAAAGTTTCACTGTCACAAACTGAACGACATATTAATCATATTGCTATCGTTTCCCCATTCATTTGCGAGAGTTTTGCCGGATTAAATCTCGCCTTTCAATCGCATACGTTATCATATGCGAGCATTTGGTCCGCTGGGAGGAGTCATGTCGGTGTAACTAACACATATTTATTTTCACAAACACATCCAAACCGACTCATGAGTCAGACGCACGGTGTATGTCGCCTATTAGTTACACCGACGTGACTCCTGGCATAACTCTGAATGATTCAACTGTGTGTAGTCGAAGGCGAGTCGACACGTACACAAATGACTCGCGAGTAGACGCACCGTGTATGCCGCCTATAAGAAAATTTGCTGTTACACAATTTGCGTTGTGTCGCTCATTTCTTTATTCATTCTGAACGTTTGGAATAAACTTTTTCGTTTACTTATTCTTTAGAACGTTCCTGACGATATGTAAACGTATATTTCAAACGCATTCTGTTTATTCTGGCTGTGAAATGAGTAGCGAGTTGTTTTACCCGCCGTTTTCACGTGCTGGAAAATCCCGCTGCTTAACGAAGCAGGCGAGATCCTGCACGTGTAGACCGCAAAAAGTACGAAGCATATTTTCTTGCATACCAAGCGGCTTTCAACTCAATTATCATTTTTGTTGTTTGGCAGGTATTTTCCCATTTCCCAAAATTCTTCAGATTAGAAACATCGTTTGTGTTAGTGCAAATTACAAATTTGGCCTGAAAATCTTGCACCTTCTTTTTTGGCGACATTTTACAAATGAAAAAGTATGTTGTCAAATGCGCAGTCAACAAAACTCAATCTCGCAGGCGAGATTTTCAAGCATGTGAAGACGGCCGGTTGCTTTCGACGTCAACTGCATTGACGCTTTCGTAACGACGTCGTCTGTAATAGGTGTCATACAAACACACGTACTCAATTTTATTTGACATTGGTGGCGTGACGCATTTTCCGGCGAAAGCGTGTTGCGTAACAGGCTAACCTAGTATTCGCGGCTTGCGTTTTGGTACGCATGCCGTCGAATTTGTTTTTTTGCGTCACCCGAAATTGACTTGCATGCGTTTGCATTTGATTTCATTGAGCGAAACGTCAAATCAAAATGTCACGCAGAACAAAAATTGAAAATTGAGTTAGCTTCATACGCACGCCGTTCAATTTCGGTTGATCTCATATAAGTT